AATAGTCTTAGAATGACGTAAGTTCTAACTTCTAAGAAGTCCACAGACCCTGTCGGCGTGTGGAAAACGCTGTCGTCGTCGTCGCCGTCGCCGCTCCCGTCGGTTTCCCCGGGCCCTTCTCTTCAACCGCCAGCCAACAGGAAACCGAGGAATGTCGTAGTTGAGTCGAAGAGAAACCCCTTCTCTTCGACTCCTTCCCTGCCAGTGGTGGCTTGGGTTGGGGAAGATGGGGTGAGGGAGGTGGGTCCCGGGTCAGAGTGCCGCCCCCCGGGGTCCTGGGGGGCGGTCGCCAACGGGTGTCCCGAGGGAGGTCCCGCGCACAGGGTCGGCGGCACCGGCCACAAGGCCTGCCCATGCAGGCCACCCGCCGCAAGGCCTGCCCCTCACGGGGCTCGCACCGTGCATCTTACGAGGGGAGCCCTTGCGCCTCAGGCAAGATGGCCCACGAGGCTCCCGAGCGTGCCCCAAGAGGGCCCCCAAGATGTGCCCAGGAGGCCCCAAATAGGCCCCCACGGTGCCTCCAAGAGGCCCCCACGAGGCTCCCAAGAGACCCCACAAGAAGCCCCCCAGAGGCAACCAGTAACCGCAGTACGTATTTCGTTGTGACTCCCCCTTTTTTACTCGGCGGTGGATCGGAATGGTCCTAACGCCTCTTCCTCCTTCTCCCCTCGCTCCCCCTCCTCCTCCTTCGCCTCCTTCTCCTCCTGCTCCTCCTCCTCCTTAGGAATGACACGAGGATGCATAAGTATTGTTAAGAACCTGAATACTGTTACTGTTATCATTACTTCCAATGTCACTGTGACTGTTACTACTACAAGTACCGTTATTCCCAAAGGAGGAGGAAGGAAAGGAGGACGGAAGAAGGATGAGTAGGATCATGACGCCGACGACGACGACGACGACGACGACTACTACTACTACTGCTACTACTGCTACTACTGCTACTACTACTACTACTACTACTACTGCTGCTGCTGCTGCTGCTACTACTACTACTACAACTACAACTACAACTACAACTACAACAACAACTACTACTACTACTACTACTACTACCACTACCACTACTACTACTACTACTACTACTACTACTACTACTACTACTACTACTACTACTACTACTACTACTTACTACTACTACTACTAGTACTACTACTACTACTACTACTACTACTACTACTACTACTACTACTACTACTACTTGCTACTACTACTACTACTACTACTTACTACTACTACTACTACTACTACTACTACTACTACTACTACTACTACTACTACTACTTATTACTACTACTACTACTACTACTACTACTACTACTACTACTACTACTACTACTACTACCTACTGCTTCTACTACTACTACTACTACTACTGCTGCTGCTGCTGCTACTACCACTGCTACTACTACTACTACTACTACTACTACTACTACGACTACTACTACTACTACTACTACGACTACTACTACTACTGCTACTACTAATACGACTACTCCTACTTCTTCTACGATGACGGCAGCTACTACTACTACTACTACTACTACTACTGCTACTGCTACTCATACTCCTGCTCGTACTCCTGCTCCTCCTCCTCCTCCTCCTCCTACTACTACTACTACTACTACTACGGCTACGACTACGACTACGGCTACGACTACGACTACGACAACTACCACCACCACCACAACCACAACCACAACCACCACCACCACCATCACTACTACTACAACAACTACTACTACTACTACTTCTACTACTACTACTACTACTTCTACTACTACTACAACTACTACTACTACTACTACTACCAATACTACTACTACTACTACGACGACGACGACGACGACGACTACTACTACTAGGACTACGACTACGACTGCGACTACTGCTATTACTACTACTACTACTGCTGCTGCTGCTACGACTAATACTACTACTGCTGCCACTACCACTACTACTACTACCACCACCACCACAACTACTACTACTACTACTAATAATAATACTACTACTCCTACTGCTACTACTACGACAACTACTACGGCTACTATTACTACTACTCCTGCTGCTACTACGACGACGACGCACGCCTACTACTACTTCTACTACTTCTACTACTGCTACTTCTGCTGCTACTACTGCTACTACTACTACTACCACCACGACTACTACTACTACTACTACTACTAATACTACTACTACTACTACTACTACTACTACTACTACTACTACTACTACTACTACTACTACTACTACTACTACTACTACTACTACTACTACTACTACTACTACTACTACTACTACTACGATTACTAGTGCGACGACTTCTGCTAGGAACACCACTTTCACGACTACTGCGGCTACTACGGCGACGGCGACTACTACTACCAGTACTACAACCACTACTGCTACCATTACTACTACTACTACTACTACTGCTGCTGCTGCTGCTGCTGCTACTACTACTACTACTGCTGCTGCTACTACTACTACTACTGCTACTGCTACTGCTACTGCTACTGCTACTGCTACTACTACTATCGCTACTGCTATTATTACTACTACTACTACTACCACCACCACTACTACTACTACTACTGCTACTACTACTACTACTAGTGCTATTACTAGTACTAGTACTCGTTTCTAGTATTCGTACGCCTACGACCACCACTACTACTACTACTACTACTACTATACTACTACTACTACTACTACTACTACTACTACTACTACTACTACTACTACTACTACTACTACTACTACTACTACTACTACTACTACTACTACTACTACTACTACTACTACTACTACTACTACTACTACTACTACTACTACTACTACTACTACTACTACTACTACTACTACTACTACTACTACCACTACTACTACTACTACTACTACTACTACTACTACTACTACTACTACTACTACTACTACTACTACGGCTACTACTACTGCTGCTACTACTGCTGCTGCTGCTGCTGCTGCTGCTGCTGATACTACTGCTACTACTATGGCTCCTGCTACAACAACAACAACAACTACTACTACTCCTACTGCTACTACCACTGCTACTACTACTACTACTACTACTACTACTACTACTACTACTACTACTACTGCTACTACTACTACTACTACTACTACTATCACTACTATTTCTACAACAACTACCACTACTAATAATAATACTACTACTACTACTGCTACTACTACTACTACTACAACTACTACTACTACTACTACTACTACTACTACTACTCCTACTGCTATCGTAGTCGTCGTGGCCGTTGTCGTCGTCATTGCCGTCGTCGCGGCGGATTCTCTGTCCCTCCATGATCGGGCGGGCTGGATGATGTTGAGCTTCTTCTCTCAGGGAATCATCCATTGTGGGCCACCCTACCAGCGAGAGAATGTGTGATCATCTTCTCATGAGGATTGCAATCGGAATCGATGGCTGTGGCTGTACTTGTGATTGTTCGTGGTTGGAATGGCGATTCTAATCGTCATCGACGTCGTGGTTGTAGTCGTAATCATAATCGTAATCATAGTCGTAGTCGTAAGGGTCGTCGTCGTCGCGGCGGAGATTATTTCCCTCAATTGTTGGGCGGGCTGGATCATCATGGGGGTCCTCTCTCGCCGAGGGAATAGTGCGCACTGGTCGGCCCTTCACGACACAGGAATGTTGAGCACGTTTGTAAAAGGGATTGCAGTATAGATGGATACAGTCTTCGCCGAACAATCTGTTTGAGGTTCGAGCTTATGAGGATGGAGTTTCTGAGAGACTTTGTAGGGCCTGAGCTTCCAGTCTTTCTGAGGATGGAACTTCTGAGAATAACATTTCTGAAACTCAAATTTCTGATCTAGGAGTTTCCGTGAGAGCACTCCTGAGGCAGAAGTACTAGTAGTCGTCGTAGTCGAAGTCGCATTCGTAGTCGTAGCTGCTGTCGTCGTCGTTGTTGAGCGGCGGGTGCCACGGGACAATAAACAAAAATTACAACGTATTGTTGGGACCCCAGTCCGTGAGTAAGGCCGCCGACAAATAATTAGTTACACCCATTGCGGGGGGGGTTCTAAAGACTTACTGAGGTTACGCCCCAAGAGGCCTCGGCGAAAAAGTCCAAACCATTGATTTCAATACACATTTGACCTCATAAGGGGAGAGGCCCTAAGTAAGGAGCCCCCCTCCTTTGATCGATCTCTCCCAAGATGGCCGCAAGATGGCCCGGGAGGCTCCCAAGGGTGCTCCAAGACGGCCCCAGGAGGTGCCCAGGAGGCCACAAATAGGCCTCCACGATGCCCCCAAGATGCCCCCAAGAGGCCCCCACGAGACCCCCAAGAGGCTCTAAGAGGCCCCCCAGAGGCACCCAAGACGCTCCATGAGGCCACCGGGACTGCCAAGACACCCCCAAGAGGCCCCGAGAGGACTCCGAGAAACTCTCGACGTAAATCCGAAGAGACTCTTAGAGACATCCAAGAGCCATCTGGCCTTTCAGCTCGCCCTCCGCCTGCTCCTCCTCCTCCTCTTCCTCATCCGCCTGTTCCTCCTCCTTCCTCGTCCCTCCTCCCCCTCCCTACTCCTCCTCCTCCTCCTCCTCCACCTCCTCCTCCTCCTCCGACTCCTCCTCCCATCCTTCCCCCTCATGGGGTACGTCGTCTTACCCAGCCCTGTATTCCACTGCATTCTACTCCACATCCCTGATCAGGGCAACTCGTCAGGCATCTTTTCTGGATGGGCTGGTGGTGGGAGTGCACGCGAAGCGTCCAGAAATATCCTGGGCGCCGGTTTCGTTATACGCTTTCAGGTCCAGAATCGGCCCGTGGACCACCCGCCCGTGTAGCTTCCATGCTCTTAGTGTTCTTTCTGATGTGCAGTATTTGTTGTCCCAATGCCGCTTGCCTGACGCCCACTTTCTGGGGTGCCGCTTCTCGCGCCTTTTATCTGAGTCGAGAGCGAACCATACCATGCAAACTAAGCGAAGGGCCAGATCTGGTCCCGGACGAGCCGGTCGGTGAAGAACCACCAGTTGAACGCCACGTTGAGGCCGTCCTCTGCGGCTACGGCTACGTTGTCGACCCTGTGCCACCACAGGGCAGGGATCAGCAGGGCGTCGCCGGGCCCCAGGGTGCACTCGGAGGCCAGCTCGTGCGGGAAGCGGTCCGCGCCGGAGAAGTGCCACGAGGGCAGCGCCGACAGGCCCGACGCCGCGCCTCCCGCGCCCTCGCCGCTGCCGAACCTGTGCGGCGCCAGTGTGGGCCGCATCTGTACGAAGTGGCGCGGGTCCACCAGCGACACGACCTTCGAGCCCGACACCTGCACGAGCAGCCCGTCGTCGTTGTCGTAGTGTGCGTGGGAGGTCTTGTTCAGGCCGCACAGCCACGAGTGGTGCACGTCCGAGGCGGGCTCCGCCCAGCGCACGAAGCCCGGCAGCGCGAAGCCAAGGTCTCCCGCGAAGTCGCACTCCGCCTGCTGGATGGCCAGCGCGCCGTCTCCAGCGGCGACGGCAGCGACGAATTCGCCCAGCGCCATCTCGCGGACCTCGGGGAACACTTTTCCTACCGCGGCGAAGCCACACGCATTCTCCGTAGAATCCGCAGGCCCCCCAGTGGAGCCACCAGGCTGCGACGGTCGGGTTTCAGCACCAGGGTCTGGTCCTGAGCTCCTCGGTCGCAGTCACAGTTTCAGTGAAGCGTCGAGTTTCCAACCTCCAAATGTTCCACTCGTACTTCCTGCTTTCTAATGTATGCAAAAATTGTTTCCGATCCGCGCTAGGGGGGCGGCCGAAAACCATCCCAGAATTCCTTGGGGGGCCCTGGGACACGTGCAAATGCTTGAAATTCGCGCGCCCGGGGCCACACGCCCTTGGAAATTACACAGTATTCGCGCCCCGAGGCCACGATCCCGTCGAAATTGTACCAGATTCGCGCCCCGCGGCGAAGCCACGATTTTTTGCAATTGTAAAACAGATCCCCGTTCCCGGAGCCAATTACGTTAGATCTGCGCCCCCCATGCCACGATCCGACACATAACTTAGTCCAGATCCTCGCCCCCGAGGCCACGATCCCTGGCAAACTTGCAAGGTTCGCGCCCCCGAAAAAAAAACGACCCCATTCAAACTGAGGCAAGATTCGCGCCGCCGAGGCCACGATCCGCTGCGAATTACGCCTGATTCGGGCACCCGAGGCCACGAGCCCTCGGAAAGTATACTCGACTCACGCCCCCAAGGCCACAAACCCTCGTAGATGATATCTAGCAGACTGCGCCGCGCTCGCACTCGCGAGGCCACGGTCCCAGGTAATACGCGCCAGGCCACGATCTTGGAGGCCTGGAAATGGCCACCAACACCAGCACACGGGGTTGCCTCCACAGGGGGAAGGTGATCCTAGAATTCGGTGTTGGTGGTAATGTTTCGGCCACCTTGGAAGCCAGCATCTTACCACCGTCACCGAGATCGGGATCGTCTTCCCTCGGTGGAGGCACGCCGCCGAAATCGGTGCTGGTGTCAACCTCTAGGCCCGCGACGATCCCTTGCAAAGTGCGCCGGGCTCGCGCCCCCCAAGCTAAGAGGCAACTACTGGGAGGTTTTCGTCGGAAAGACTAAGGAGGATTAAGCCCCATTTGGAAGCTGTTACGCCGGAGTGGGCCTCGGAGTAAGCAGGTTCAGCCGGATTAAGCGGGATTAAGCGGGATTAAGCCGGATTAGGCGGGATTCAGCGGGAGTAAGCCGGAGTTCGGACCAGGGCGAAAACAGAATTTGACCTCCCAGGAGTTGCATCCGAACCCAAAGCCACCTTCCTCCTGCATTGCGCAAGGTTCGCGTCGAGCAGGCGGCGAGACCCCCCCGCGCAAGTCACGCCGGGTGCGCGCCCCCGAGGCCACGATCGATTTCTTTGCGCAAGTGACGCCACGATTGCCAGCCGTCCTCGCGCGAGTATCTCCGGTATTGCTTCAAGTCAGCGCCAAGGCATCCCAGCATAGCTCCGGCATGTCCCATTCTGATGAAAGGGGCCCTGGGGCACACAAATAAACACATACCAATAACAGGACTCCCCATATTCTCCCGTATTTTCTGGGGTTTTGCCTTCCCCCCACTTCCCATATTTACCTAACAGCGAAGACTGATAGGTTTCTAATGGTCTCAAAAAGAAGCATCATGGCTCCCCAGGGGGGTCCGGGCAGGATCCGGGGAGAATCCGCGGAAGTCGTTTTAAGCTAACAGTTACACACTTCGTGGTCTTCGAGGTCCCAGAACTCCATTCCTGGGCATGATTTTGAATGCCTGGAGCCAACTGTAGGCCACTTCGTGGTCTTCGAATTCCCAGAACTCCATTCCTGGGCATGATTCTGAATGCCCGGAGCCAACTGTAGGCCACTTCGTGTTCTTCGTGTTCCCAGAACTCCATTCTTGGGCATGATTCTGAATGCCCGGAGCCAACTGTAGGCCACTTCGTGCTCTTCGAGTTCCCAGAACTCCATTTCTGGGCATGACTTTGAATGCCGGGAGCCAACTGTAGGCCACTTCGTGTTCTTCGAGTTCCCAGAACTTCGTTCCCAGGCCACATTTTGAATGCTGAGGCAGGCTGAGGCTGAGGGCTGAGGCTGAGGCAGGCTGAGGCTGAGGCCGAGGCTGAAGGCAGACTGAGGCTGAGGCTGAAGCAGGCTGAGGCTGAGGCTGAGGCAGGCTGAGGCTGAGGCTGAGGCAGGCTGATGCTGAGGCAGGCTGAGGCTGAGGCTGAGGCTGATGCAGGCTGAGGCTGAGGCAGGCTGAGGCTGAGGCCGAGGCTGAAGGCAGACTGAGGCTGAGGCTGAGGCTGAGGCTGAGGCTGAGGCTGAGGCTGAGGCTGAGGCTGAGGCTGAGGCTGAGGCTGATGCTGAAGGCAGGCTGAGGCTGAGGCTGAGGCTGAGGCTGGTGAGGCTGAGGCAGGCTGAGGCTGAGGCTGAGGCTGAGGCTGAAGCAGGCTGAGGCTGAGGCTGAGGCAGGCTGAGGCTGAGGCTGAGGCAGGCTGATGCTGAGGCAGGCTGAGGCTGAGGCTGAGGCTGATGCAGGCTGAGGCTGAGGCAGGCTGAGGCTGAGGCCGAGGCTGAAGGCAGACTGAGCTGAGGCTGAAGCAGGCTGAGGCGAGGCTGAGGCAGGCTGAGGCTGATGAGGCTGAGGCTGAGGCAGGCTGAGGCTGAAGGCAGGAGGCTGAGGCTGAAGCAGGCTGAGGCTGAGGCTGAGGCAGGCTGAGGCTGAGGCAGGCTGAGGCTGAGGCTGAGGCTGAGGCAGGCTGAGGCTGAGGCAGGCTGAGGCTGAGGCCGAGGCTGAAGGCAGACTGAGGCTGAGGCTGAAGCAGGCTGAGGCTGAGGAGGCTGAGGCAGGCTGAGGCTGAGGCTGAGGCAGGAGGCTGAGGCTGAGGCTGAGGCTGAGGCTGAGGCTGAGGCTGAGGCTGAGGCAGGCTGATGCAGGCTGAGGCTGAGGCTGAGGCTGATGCAGGCTGAGGCTGAGGCTGAGGCTGAGGCCGAGGCTGAAGGCAGACTGAGGCTGAGGCTGAAGCAGGCTGAGGCTGAGGCTGAGGCAGGCTGAGGCTGAGGCTGAGGCAGGCTGATGCTGAGGCAGGCTGAGGCTGAGGCTGAGGCTGATGCAGGCTGAGGCTGAGGCAGGCTGAGGCTGAGGCCGAGGCTGAAGGCAGACTGAGGCTGAGGCTGAGCAGGCTGAGGCTGAGGCTGAGGCAGGCTGAGGCTGAGGCTGAAGCAGGCTGATGCTGAGGCAGGCTGAGGCTGTGACTGCGACTGCCGTTGCCACTGCGACTGTCATCGCGAATGCGACTGCGACTGCGAGAACAGCAGAATTCTACAACTGGATTCTCATCTGAAGCTTAAGGGGAATGCTTCCAGATATGCTCCTACACATCGCTGTTAGGTTGCTTTGCCGGGATAATTTTCAATATTTTCCTGGGGATCAACTATTAAGTGTGTCGGTGTATGTGTGTGTGTTTCTCCCTCCTGATATGATAGTCGCGAACGGCGAACGTATCCATAACCATGCCCTCGCGGTCTGGATTCCGGGGCGCGATATCCCGCGGAGACGCCGGGCGCACGGGTATGCGCTCCTCGCGGGGCCTCCGCGAAGAGAACGTCCCGCACCCGCGGGGTCGCGGCCCAGGGGCCTGGCCCGCGAGGCCGCGGCTACGGAGATGCATGTCGCCGAAGATATACTCCAGATTTCGTTAATAAAAGGGAGGGGGTCTGGACCCTCCATGACATCTGGACCCTCCAAGACAAGCCATTTCAGACCTCCCCCGTGGGAGAACCCTCCAAAACATCGTACCCAGACCCCCCCCGGGCACTCCAAGATAGCCTGGAAGAGACCCCCCCCGAAATGAGACCCCCCTCCCTTTATCACGAAATCTGGAGTAGGAAGGGGCCCGTCGGCAGAGGGCGAAATCCATCGCACGCGCCGTCAGCCAGGCGGCCGGGCGGGCACTCCGTGGTGGGTGCGCAGGGGGCGAGCGAGCAGCGGCGGGGCCAGGGAGCGCCGCGGCGGCAGCAAAGGGCAGCGCGCGAGGGTGCAGCGGACCTCGGGGAACAGGAGCACCTGTAGATGACTACCTACCAGACCACCCCAACCCAACCCGAAGACCCGAATTTCGGGTTGGGGGGGGTAAGGGTTCCACACGTGTTTTTTCGACGTTTCCCGACCCCCCCAACTGGAAATCGAGGGTAAGTCTGAGCCTTCGGGTTGGGTTGGGGTGGTTTGGTGGGTGGTGAGTAGAAGGAGAACAGAGCGGCATCAGCACAAACTTTTGGTCGCTCCGCGCGGAGGTCTGGGAGCTGCGCGGGGCCCCCCCCCCGCCCTGGCGCGCGGATCGCGCCAGGGGCGGCGCCGGATGGCGCCGCGGGGGGTGCGCAGCGAAGGATTTTTGCAATCCTTGGGTTTTTTTTGCAATCCGTTTTTTTTTTTGCAATCCGTTTTTTTTTGCAATCCGTTTTTTTTTGCAATCCTTGGATCCAGGAATTCCCCGCGGAGCGTCAAAGGTTTATGCTTTTGGTGCTTTTCCTTCTTCGAGCCTCGTCGACCGGGTCGAAGCGGTTGAAGCCGCGCTGCCCGCCGGCGTCCACGTCGACCGGGGACGCGAGGTCGCCGTACCTCGGCCACGCGCAGAGGGGGGGTAATTAGGGGGAGGGGGAAAGACTTCTGCTTAGAAGGCGGCTGCTTCTTAATGCGGGATGACGATCAATTAAAAAATGGGGGGGAACGTTTTAAAACATACTTTCCTGCTATTTCTGCACAATTTTCTGACTAGAGGGGAACGATTAAAGAAATAGTTTTCCAGCCCGCGGCCGGATTTTTCTAATCGTCATCCTGGGCGCCGCCGCGTGAACACGACCCCCGGTCATTTATTAATCGTCATCCTCCATCATACAATCGGACTCGATTGGACAGGACACGCGAGAGGACACAAGACCCTTTCGAGGGCCACATTGCCACAGGAATGTAGGAAGCGTGGGTCGCGAGACACAGGACGCAAGGGGTACCCTTGAGTTGGCAGGGTCGACCTACTAATCTGGGCCGACTGCAAGGCGCGGGCCCTACATCTGCAGACAAGGCCCGCGCCTTCTGAGGAGCAGGGGTGCTTCCAAGAAGCCCTCCCCCTCCCCCTGCCCCCCTCTGCGCGTGGCCGAGTGCCGCTCCCGCACGAGCGCCGCAAAGGAGCCGCCGGCGCGGCGCGCGAGCTCCCCGACCTCGCGAGGGGGGGGGGGGGCGCCAGCTGCATGCCCACGCCTGCCACCCGAGATCCTGTGGGCAGGCCCCGCCTGGGCCCAGGCTCGGGGTGTGCACAACGGCTTTCGTACGACAATAAAGGGAAACTGGGACACACAAATAAATACACACAAATAAAAAGATTCCCCATATTTTCCTATATTTTCTATGTTTTTGTCCTCCCCACCACTTCCCATATTTTCCCATATTTTCCTAGGGATCGACGAATAATTGTGTCTGTGTGTTTTTTCCCCTCCTGAGACAAGAAACTCTGCTGTGAGAAATCCGGAGGCACACCCATCGTCCAGATTCAACCTTGGTGGGCTTGTTCTCCACCGCCGCCAACATCAGTAGGAGGGGGAGGGGGTCCTCCTCCTCCTCCTCCTCCTCCTCCTCATCCTCCACCCCCTTCCCTCCTCCAACTTATGGTGGCGGCGGTGGAAAACAGGCCCATCAAACCTCTACGATGCCGCAAGACTTCGGTGGGATCATGGGGCCTGAAGCCTGTGGGGGCATGGGGCACTTCCGTGGTGCACCTGCTAGCAGGCCGGTTCCTTACCTTGACGTGCCCTCTGCATGTCCTTCTGGCTTGGCCAGGGAGGCATGCACACAGACACACGCATACGCACACACCGATCCGAGCCTGGACTCCAGACTGGCCTGGCCAGGATCGGTAGAGGCGTACAGTCGGGGCGTTGACCTAAGGAACCCTAAATCAGGAACGAGGCCCCTATTTTTCATAAGTTAAACTTCGATTTCCCGTCGGAAGCAAAAGGAAAACCTGAGGCAAGCTGTGAAACAATCCAGGAACACGGAGCCCCTCCCCAACGAAAAGGGTTCCTTCTTCAGGGCCCCGACTGTATGCCCTCTTCTCCGACGCCACAATTTGTGGGGACACGGCCCACTGGGGATCTCGACCCCTTCCCCAAGGCGGGTCTGCCGTCCCGAGTCGTTTCTTCACCGTCCTGGGCCAGGGCTGGGAAGCAGCTCCTGGAGGCAGAACACTTCCCCCAAACTGGCAGCCGCGTTCCTTTCTGGCCGTCCAGATCCCAGGGTGTAGCACGCGCCCCCCGACGACCATGCCGCTGGCCGCACCGCGCACCTGAGGGGGAACGATAGGGGGAGGGACTGGCCCAGGTTTAGGTCGGGCATGTCCTCCTACAGGCGGATTTCGGGAGACAACTAAAGATAGTACAAAAACACCCGAATGGCCAAAAATTGTCAAACCATCGTCCCCGGATTAGTTTTCAATATTTCGCAATGTTCCCCCTGTGGAGGGGCAGGCCCGACGTAAGCCCAGGGTGGGAACACTGACCTGAAATCACTGCGACAGCGCCGATGGCCGATGGGCCCCCGGTACAGGGAAGCCGCACGCTCCCAGGGCGGGGTGTGGCACTCGGGCCTCGACAGGGGCGAGGCATGGGCGGTTGCGGGTGGATGCTGCTGCTACTACGACGACTACTACTACTACTATTACTACTACCACTACTACTACTACTACTACTACTACTACCACCACCACCACCACCACCACCACTACCACTACCACTACCACTACCACTACTACTACTACTACTACTACTACTATTATTATTATTACTACTACTACTACTACTGCAACGACGACTACTACTACTATCACCACCACTACTACTACTACTACTACTACAGCGACGACTACTACTACTATCACCACCACTACTACTACTACTACTACTACTACTACTACTACTACTACTACTACTACTACTA